GTCATTCCAGCACTCAGATTTAATAAAGGGAAAACTCTTTAATAAAAGCACATAGCCCATTCTGGCTAATGCACAAAAGGAAACTGGCCCTGAGCAGAAATCTTTGTCTACATAGGTGCATGGGCCAGAGTTATACTTGGAGCAGTTATACGTGCTCCAAGAGACAGAGCTTCAAGGTCTGGTTGTCAGGACAAACAGGGAGATTTACAATGTAGAAATACTTACTGCCATAGTTATCCCAAGACAGACCAAGGCTGCTTTTCCTGGGCCAGTACCAGCGTTGTCCTGCCTGCCTGGCAGAATTACGGTCTTCCCAGTAAGAGGCACAGGGCTTAATTCGCGTTGTCAGCCCAGGTTGTCTCTAAACTGCCTGGGAGAGGCACACTCCTTTAGCTAAATTTCACTTTTGTGTAACGGTATTTCCTGAGCAAGTTTGCTGCTCCATCCTTGAGAGTCACAGTTTACTACCTCCATTTTCTCCTACAGCCAGAGTTAGTTTTTACCTAATCATTCATGTGAGAGTCTGTTGCTGCCCCACATCCCTGCTCTCATGACGAATGATAGACATTGCAAAGTGCTGAGAACCGTCACATATCACCTGACAAACAGGTCTCCAGCTGGGCCTGAACAAGGTGACAGACACTGCTCTTGTTTTTCAGACCTCAGACAGTAAACAGCAGAGCTGTCTGACAGAATGCCAGTCTCCAGCATCACAGACAGATCTCAGAATTCCCACAAAGGTCAACGAGGTCAGGCTCACGGGCTGTGTTCTGTTTAGATATGAATGCATCTGATATTAGTCAACCTCACATTAAGTAAAATGCCTGACAGAAGTCATCATAAGGCAGGGTTGTGAATCGATCGCTTGATGCCAGCGTGGCCAGAGTTGCTCACTCCTAGCCTGCCCCTCTAGTTCCCCTGGAGCCATGGGTCAGTTTTCACTGATTTCCCACCCAGCAAGGAAAACAGACCCTCAGGACTCCAGTTTGGGAGGGAAGAGCCCAGCGGCCGAGAGCTGTCCGTGGTGCTGCCCGAGTGAGTGGCTCAGCTTGAGGCTGTGTCTGCTGCCCTGGGGCTTGCGCTTACTGAACTCCTGGTTGGTAAACCTGCAGCCTGCCTGGCTAGAGGGTGGGAACAGATAGGGTTCTGGAGACTAGAAAGGTCTGTGATAGCCAGGCAGCTCCCCCAGGGGATTTTTTTGCTGGGCAGGCTTGGGGAAAAGAAGAAAGAAGGGCTTATTATGGGAGAAACATCAGGCCAAGAGTTCAGTTGTCTCTTGTGTGTTCACTCACGGTTACTGGGCCACAGGACCAAAGGATGCCGGGAAACTGATCCATTACTTCATCCGGCTGGTCCGAGAAGCACACACGGCAGCTGCATCCAAGTTCCTCACTTGCTCTTCCTTTACCCCAGACCTCACCAAGCTTCTAGGAAGGTGAACGGTTACTGGAGCAGTCCAAGTGGGAAACAGCTGGGACCAGGATCTCGTTGTAGGCTTTCAAAGCCTGCATTGCTCTGTGTCCCCAGGGGTTAGCATTTCTATGTCAAATCTCTCAGCTTCTGGGCATGGAACACATCTCTGTGTCTATCTTTCCCTCCCTGAGAAGAGGACTCTCTCCCTCCCCCTGGATGTTCTCTAGGCTTGTGACACCAAACCATAGATTTAGGTTTGTGGAGAAGGGAAGACAGGCGGGGAGGCTGACCAGCTACCCGGGAAAGGTGGCTGATCCCCTGCAGCTCCTGTTTCCCTGTGGTTTGTGGTGCAGTCAGTGTGTCTACAGCTAAGTTTTGCCTTTTTACCTGGTGACCCACATTCCTGTGTCTCCTTTACAAGGAGGCGTGACTGAGGGTGTGGCTTAGGAATAGAATGACTAGAAGGCTTGCTTAGCACAAGTGAGGCCCTTGGTTTGATTCCCAGATCTTCAAGTAAGTTAATAATCAAGTAGTCAGCAGACATTTGGTTTAGTACACATACTGTGATTTGCCTAATTACTGGCAAATGCCAATAGTTGCAGAATCCTTCCCCCCTTCTGAAAGTTGTTAATTTGCTCTCGTTACCACAGAACAGTGCGTTTAGTTTTGTTACATTTTGTTTTGCTTTGTTCTACTTTTTAAGGTTTACATATTTTTATTTTATATGCATGAGTGTTCCGCCTGCAAGTATGTAAGTGTACCCATATGTGTGTAGTGCCCAAGGAGGCCAGATCTCCACAGAGGGTGCTGGATCCCCAAAGCAGAGTTAACAGAGATGGTCGTAAGCTTCTATGTAGGTGCTGGGAACTGAATCCAGGTCCTTTGCAAGAGCAGCCAGTGCTTTTAACTGCTGAGCCTTCTCTCCATTTCTCCATTTCATTGTGTTTTTTAAAACAATCACCCCTTTGATGTTTGATGTTTGTTTGTTTGTTTTTGAGATGAGGTCTACTTTCCTGGTTTCCATGTTAAGAAAAAGACAATTGTCAACAGTAGGAAAAGGACATTTATTCAATATGACCACATGGTGAAGATTAGCAGAAAAGGAGGCCCAAGGATCCCTGAATCATGAGGGATAGATCTAAAGATATGTTTTATTATTTTCAATTATGTGTGTCTGTTTGTGCCTGGTTTTGTGCACATTGTGTGCAGGTACCCACAGAGGCCAGAAGAGGGTTTGGGTCCCCTGAAACTGGAGTTTCAGGTGATTGTTAGCTGACTCGTGTGGGAACCAAACCCCTGCCCTCTGAAAACCCTGGCTCCAGCTCCAGTGTTGGAGTATATGGTCTAGGTGGCCCCGCACCCTTGCCCTGAACAGGGCTCTCCTACTGAAAGACTCCCCGCTGGGCGTCTTCCCTCGGGAGAGACCCCCATGTCCAAAGATCAGTCGAAAGCACGCAGCCGGATGCAAAATGCAAGAGGTTTATTTGGGGTACACAGGCACCTGTGGGCGACAAGGTCTCTCGGAGAACTTGCGCGCCTGCAGGTTGGGGATGAAGGGTTTTTATAGGGGAGCAAAAGCGCGGGTACAGAAGCAGAAAAGCTTTCATTTCATTGGTCAGTTCAAATAAGGCTAAGCTGAGTGGCACATTCTTGACCTTTTACCTAAATACCAAGGAGGGGGTTGTCCAGACCCACCTGGATACCAAGGAGGGGGCTGTGCTACCTGTTTTTCTTATCTCTTCCTGCCTTCCTAGCTTGGCTGGCGACTAGATGTCTGATTTGCACAGCCCCGAGCCCTGCTTTCTACGAGACTCAGGCCTCGCAATCTTCTCTTTCTTTGTTTCTATGGCCAGTTCATAAATTCCCTGTTTTGCAGCCAGATAAGGCTGTCCTTGCTCTAACCTCAGGTAGGTATCTTTGCTCAGCGGAGGCCTTTTATGGAGCTTGTTATTTGTTCAGCATTCCAGGAGGTCCTGAGCTAAGCTTGTTATTTGCTCATCCTTTGCAAGAACGGTATGACTGTGGTTAAAGCGAGTTGGGGTCCTTCATTACCTTCCGCTTCTTGGGCCCTGGAACTGCCAGTGTCCGTGATTGGCTCCTCAGCAAATCCGTGAGCATGGGTTTTCCGAGGCCCTAGTGTGGCCATCAGGCAGCTCTGGGCACTTCCTTTAGCCTTCTCTGTGAGATGAGTTGGGGACATTGAGTGACAGTGAGGGTTTACTGTTACAGGCCACACAGTTCTTTGCCTAAGGCATTTGTAGCCAAGGTCATTGTCGTTGTTTTGTTAATATTGTTAATTGCCTGGATGCCCTAGAAGCCACCGCCAAGTGACCTTTTGTGGTCCTGGGGACAGAACCCCTGACCTTGCCACGGCTCAGCAAGTGCTTGGTCACAGAGTTGCAGCCGCGTCCCACAGCTGACTTGTATTAGGGAGCACAAGTGACCTTTCCTTTCGAGAAAGGGCAGTACTTTCCTCTGTGACTGACACCTGTGAGTTGCCTGGCTGTGACACAGGTTAGATTGAATCACAGGCCCCTGCTTGTCAGGCCAGAGATGCTTCTGCCTCACCTCATGTTGTGTGCATAGTTGGACATTGCCTGGTGCCGTCACCCCCACCCCCTCACTTGATGCTGGCAAGGTGTGCTGACCCTGACCCCTCCCACTGTGTGTTGGGCCAGACAGGCATGGGAGGATCACACACTGCTGTCAGAGGGTGGAGGAGAAGTCCTGGTTTTGTGATGTGGCTGGCACCTTATGCTTGCCATCAGCCCCTGGTCTGGCCACTGACTGCTTCGGAGGATGGTGGAGGGTGTGGTACTACTCACCTTCCCAGAAACAAGGCACTAGGACTAGGTCTTCACGATAGAGGGAAATGGGGAAAGAGAGAAACTCAGGAGTTTAATGTGTTGAGTAGCACAGGGTGACGATCCACCTAGGGAGAGCGAGCCCACATTTGCTGACGTGCTGTGTACCCAGCACTGGCCATTCATCCTCATGTAAGGAGCTTGTGGCTCAGCAGCTTAGCCACCTGTCCTCTGTCACATAATAAAGTGGCAGAGCCCAAGAGGAAACCCAGATTTTTCATAGCAATATTTGGAGGGCGAGTTTCTTCTGTCTTGTACAGGAAAGGATTTCACATTTCACTCATCATGCGGAAATACCTTTTGTAATAAAAAAAAAATCCGAAGGAGTCTAATGGGACTCAGTCTGGCGTCCTCTCAGGTCCTTCCTGCCTGCAGCTGAGCTGCGCTGGCTGTCCCTTTAAGTTGGGTTCTCCTTGGGATTGCCACTGCAGCCAGAGGGGGAGGGCTAGGGATGTCTGCAGTGAAGATTTCCCCAGCAAAGCCTTTCTCCTTGCAGCATAGGCAGCCTGCCAGTGACGTCCTCACAGCTTCTAGATTTCCCTTTTCCTCTCCTCACAAGCTGCTGATTCATCGGCGAGGCAGTAGGGCCCGGCAGCCCTGGCTGTCAGGCTGCCGCTGGGTGGAGTCCTTGACCTCCAGGGAGGCATCCCCAGTCTCTCTGATACCCGTGGCTCAGGGTGGCAGGCACCAAGGGAGAAGGGGCAGAGCATCCCAGCCCTGTCAGATCTCTGACCAGAAATGCAAGTGGGAAGGACCAGGCTTGACCAAGGTCAGAGCCAGGGCCAGGAAGGCCCCTTCTCACTCCTCTGGCCTCCTCCTGTAGGGTGCTTCAAGGATGACCGAATCGTCTTCTGGACCTGGATGTTTTCTACCTACTTCATGGAGAAACTGGCCCCCAGGCAGGACGACATGCTTTTCTACGTGCGCAGGAAGCGAGCCTACCCAAGCAGTGAGAGCAGTGTCGACGGGAGGAAGGTGGGTGACACCCCCAGTCTCCCCCCACCTGTGCCCTGAACATCTTGGAGGGTCTCCTTCCTCTCTGCAGCATTCATGTGCAGCTGAAGGGAAGATCACACTGAGTACCCAGCACATTGGAGGGATCCAGGAGACGTCTTCTGAGTTTGTTGAATTGTTTTTGCCTTGACTCCAAAAGGCAGTAATTGTAGTTAAAAGAAAACTGAGGCTTGGGGTCCAGCTGATGTGACCAGCCTCTTAGAGCGAGTGAGCAAACGGGGTACAGGGCTTTGAGCCCCAAGTCTGGGGCACTTCCCAGAGTGGACAGGACGGTAGCTGGATGGTAGTGGTGGTGATGGTGGACGGTGGTGATGGTGACGGTGACGGTGGATGGTAGTGATGGTGATGGTGGACGGTGGTGATGGTGATGGTGACGGTGGTGATGGTGACAGTGGACGGTAGTGACGGTGACGGTGGACGGTGGTGACGGTGATGGTGGTGATGGTGACGGTGGTGATGGTGACAGTGGACGGTGGTGACGATGGTGATGGTAGACGGTAGGAATGGTGATGGCGGACAGTAGGGATGGTGATGGTGAACGATGGTGATGGTGATGGTGGAAGTAGTGATGGTGATAATGTGTCCTTCTCTGACTTGGTCCTTACTATAAATTAGGGGTATCACTCAGGGCTGTCCTTGGTCTTCTAAACTCCAAACAACTGGGCAGATAGACAGATGAGGAAACAGGGCTTAGAGAGAAGCAACTCACCAGGGCATTTCGTCTTCTAAGTGTAGCAGTGTGGCTGGGCAGTGGTGGCACACACCTTTAAGCCAGCTCTTGGGAGGCAGAGGCAGGCGGATCTTTGTGAATTCAAGGCCAGCCTGGTCTACAAAGTGAGTTCCAGAACAACTAGGAAGACACAGGGAAACCCTGTCTAATAAAAACAAAAAAGAAAAAAAATGTATGTTAGTGTGCAGTTCTTGAGACAGATTTTGCATGCTTTCTTCTCTTTTCAGAATTCTTAGTGGCCTATAGAAGTTTAAGCAGCCCCCATGTGAAGCATGGGAATAATTTGTCTGCCTTTAAGAATAAATAGTGGTCAGAGTTTGAGCCTGGTTTGTGACTGAAAGCCTGTCTGCTTCCCTGCGCCCTGCAGCTCAGGTTCTGTGGTTTCTTAGGCGTGACTCCCACACTTGAGTGCTGGGAGCTCCTTCCTATCACGTGCTGCACATCTACAGAACGCTTTTGCTGTGAGTGGTCACCTGGGCACTTGCTGCAAAGGAGGCCTTTGGTGACTTTCTTACCAGGCTGGTGCGGGAGGGGACTGCAGGAGCTCATGAACCACTGACCAGAGAGTTAGAAGAGCCAGGAGAGGGTAGATCTGGAGATGTGTGTGATCGTGGACTGGACTAGGGCCCAGGAGTGACAGGAGGGTGAAGCAGGAGAAGCTCTGTGGACGAGCTAAAACAGAGACCCGACTGGTAGGTCCATCAGGCATCTGTTGGTAGTGGCACCAGTGAAGGGGATCAGCCCTGGGCTCCTCGGTCCTACCCCTTACGCCCTTCCTGTCTGGTATACTGACCGAGTCCGGCTTTCTCCCCTTGATCAGTATTACGGTTGTGGCCAGACCCAGACATCTCAGGGACTTAGAACTTAGACAGTAAGGGCCGAGCCTCCCATTGGCTACATGTGAGACTGGGATGTTTGGGTGGTGTGGCCACAGAGGGGCCCTTGGCAGGAAGGGACAGGTGCTATGGAGCCTCTGCATGCTGGTGACCCAGCACCAGTGCACCCTGGTCATAGGCATTACTTTCACTCAAGGTTTACCTTGGGATGAAAGTCCTTGGAGCAGCAGGACTGGGAACCCCATCTCTGGCTCCAGCCACTCCCCCCAGCCTGTCATCTCTGAGACAGGCACATGTGAGGCACTGTCTTATGGGTGGACCATGCATGGCGATTCTGGAAGAGGGGGTCAGGCCTGTGTGCGCTGTTGAGGGGCCAGGTTGAAAGGAAAGCGGGATGATTAGTTGATGGCATCTGGGTGGAAGAGAAGTAAGCAAGAAGACTCTTTGAGAGAGGCAGCCCTGGGCCCAGGATGGAGACGTCTACAGCAGGAGGGTCCCTGGGGTTGTACTGAGACACTCTTGGATATTTAGTGGCTGTTGAGGTCAGTGGAGGCAGCCTGAACCTATCAGGCATGCTGAGTAACACTGAGCCCAAGGCTGGCTCCCCAGTCCTAAAAGCACAGCAGTGACCCTGGCTACCCCTGCCTTTGAGAAGCCCTCAGCGGGCAGACAGACAGCATCGTGTAGTGGCAGTCACAAAAGGGGGGACATCTGTGTCCAGGATTGCAGGGCAGCTGCCGACTGGAGACACACCCAGGGCTGGTACAGCGCCTGCGTGGTAGACGAAGGCTGCCATGCACATTATAGTGCCAGCTGAGCACCTGACCTCAGAGCGATATGTGCAGGGGAAAAGAAAGTCACCATATGTCACTGGAGTGACACCAAGAGTAACCATAGTTTGCTGCTCAGGTGGCTTTGCATAGGCGTTAGAAAATGGGGAACCCCCTGCCCCCACATATATCCTCTTTGTGCTTGGTTGGCCTCTTGTACCTCTACATGGGTTCCAGGGAGGGCTGACTGGTGGTGTCTGGCACAGGGTTTGGAGGACCAAGTCTAGGGTCAGACAAGACTCAAGTCCATCCAGACTGGACATCTTTTCCAACCTGGCAGTCTGCAGTGTGACCTGTAAGGGGCTGGCTGTGGGTACACCCGGGAACCCCAACATACCAAGAAGTAGAAGCCAGGGCTGCCGAGATGTGGACGCTAGCACCTGCGCACTAGGAGTGTTCTGCGGCAAGCACTGCACCGCCTCCCACCCTTTCCCAGCCTGCTGGTGCTGGTTGTCGTGGCAACCAGCTAGGCTTTCTGCCTAACTGAGGAGGGTGGGTGGGCAGAGCCAGAGCCAGAGCTGCAGTGTGGGTGGGCATGGGGCTGGAGTTCTCACACCCTGCTTCAGGATCACCGTGGGGGTTCGGATCTGGCTTCCCCAGTGTGCCCTAGATTTTTTGTACAGTCTTGTTATGCCACCCCTGGACAAAACACTCCCCGTTTTGTCTTTGGCACTGATGAGCACTGGCATCTGTTGGTGTCCTCATCTATGCTGGTGGCCTCCTGTTGGCATCCTCAGCGATCCTGGGGTAGAGATTACTCCAGACCTACTTGGAAACCAGAACTCAGGAGCAGCGAGGGTGTTTCTCTGGTCCTACAGTATTCAGTCTTATATTTTCTCGTTTGGTATCTTTTCTGTGTGTGTGTGTGTGTGTGTGTGTGTGTGTGTGTGTGTGTGTGTG